GTACCCTGACTTTTATCAGCAATTAATTTCTTTTCAACATTAGTTTTATTTTAATTTTTGCCCCTATATTTGAGCTAGGAACTTTATGGCTGCCACTAACCCATGGGCTAGCTCTTGATTTTTTTTTTTTTTTTTTTGATTGCACACCCCTAATACAATGGGTACAGTCGAGTCATTCACAGCAATAGAAATGGAAGCCAAGGAGATGTTTGAAACTTGACACATTTTTATTTATTGAAAAAAATATCCAAAAAAGTTGAGAATAATAAGTTCATGTGGTATGCAAATGACGTCTGTCTTTATTTTTAGACCCTCGTTCTTTGAAATCACACTTAATTAAAGAAAAAATATATATATATATTTTTATATTCGCTGGCCTCATAATTTTGAAACCCAAAATAAAAATAATATTTGTAAAAAAAATGTCGCCCTCTCGCCTCACTTTTTATTTTTGAAAATCCGAAGAACTACTTTACAAATTGGTGTGGCCTTACTGTCAAATGTTAAATCTCACGGACAAATCTGATCAAAAATACTGAGAGACGACGTTAAGGGTAAACAGGTCTGTATATAGCATTTATGGGTGAAGGGGAACAAAAATTGTAAATTTCATGGTCCCTGCCCCCCTGGGGCCTGAGGGATTGGGCCAAAACCACTATAATGAATGCAATTTTTAAAAATCTTCCTCTTTACTCCTGGTCATCTAGCAGTCAAATTGTTTGCATGATTGTAATTAGCATTGAGTCCTTTACCAAAATTGTGAAATTCATGGCCCTGGGGTCAGGGGTTCTAGTGCTAGGGCGGGGCTAAATAGATTATATAGTGAAAATGCATTATTTCTTTGAAAATATTCTTCTCTGCTCCTGGGCATTGAATAAACTAAATAAGTACATAGTGATGTTGAATAAGGCTGCCTCTTCCAAAATTGTGAATTTTAGGGCCCCAGGGTCAGGGGTTCTTAGGTGCTAGGGCGGGGCTATATATAGTGGAGCCTCATTTATCCGGACGATTTGGTTCCCAGTAAATTTGTCCAGATATGTGAAGCATCTCGATACCTGAATCACCAGTTAAACAAAACAAAATAACATTTAAAAATTCAGTTCCAATGAAAAATTGTCCGGATACTGTAGCATCCGGATATCTGGCGTCCGCATATCTGAAGGTCCAGATTATATGGTGAAAATGCATTATTTCTTTGAAAATCTTCTTTGCTCCTGGGTATTTAATAAACAAAGTGAATACCTAGTTATGTTGAATAAAGCTGCCTCATCCAAATTGTGAATTTCATGGCCCTGGGGTCAGGGGTTCTGGTGTTAGGGCGGGGCTTTATTAATTATATAGTGAAAATGCATAAATTCTTTGAAAATCTTCTTCTCTGCTCCTGGGTATTAAACAAACTAACCAAGTACATAGTTATGATGAGAAAGAACATCTCTTCAAAATTGTGACTTTCATGGTCCCTGGGTTGGGGGTTCTGGTGTTAAGGTGGGGCTCTATTGATCATAAAGTGAAAATACATTAATTCTTTAAACATCTTTACTGCTCCTGAGTATCAAATAAACTAAACAAGTACATATTTATGTTGAATAAGAGTGCCTCTTCCAAAATTGTGAATATCTGGCCTCTGGGTCAGGGGTTCTGGTGTAAGGGTGGGGTTCTATTGAGTATGTATAGTGAAAATACATTAATTCTTTAAAAATTTCTTCTTTGCTCCTGAGTATAAACCAATGAACTATATATGTACATACATAGTTATGATGAGGAAGGATGCCTCTTCTAAATGCATGAATTTCAGGGCCCCAGGGTCAGGAGTTTTGGTTTTAGGGCAGAACTCTAATGATTATAGAGTGAAAATTCATCAATTCTTCGAAAACCTTTTCCTTTGCTCCTGGGTATTATGCCAATGTTCTAAGGACATATTAATGATGATGATGAAAGGTGCCTCTCCAAAATGGTTAATTTCAGGGCCCCTGGGTCAGGGTACTTGGGGTGGGGGTTACATAGTCTGAAAATAAATTAATGCTTTGATATCTGCTTTTTGGTATGAATTATTAATAAACCATTTATGATGATCTAAAATTTATGATAAAATTTCCAGAATTTTGAAATATGTGCCCCCAGGTTCAGTGGTTCCTGTGAGGTGGGGTGCACAACTGGTTATAAGGTGGAAATGCATTTTCTCTTTGTTACTCTTATTTACCTCTGGGTATTAAGTAACCAAAGTAAGCAAGCTAAGTGTATAGTTATGATAAGCAAAAGTGCCTCTTTCAAAATTTTTAATTTCATGGCCTTTGAATTAAAACACGAACCAATTCAATTGTTGGAAAGTTGTTACATGATACTCAGGTTACCTGTAAGGCCCGTGGGCCTCTTGTTTATTTACCAATCAATATCTCAACTGCATAATTCAGGACTGCATAATTCATTAGGTGCTTGTCTAAGTTGGAGGGAAAAGTTCACCACCTAGACCAGATGTGACAGTCTCAAATTGAATCAAGTAAATTTTTTACAGATATGTTGGAACTTTTATTGCCAATTGTGCTTCATGACATCAAATCATTAAGGCCACAATTTGTGACAAATTATAGTGCCAGGACTGACAATCCCAAACGGCAAACATCATGTTTTTCTTCTCAGCTCCATCATAGGGACTCAAGACAATCTTAGCAAAATTGGGTATATAGTATAATAGGGGAGAAGGGACCTAACGAGCCGCCATTAATTCCTCGGTGCCTCGCTTCAAACCTTATAAACTTTGATTTTTATTCAAAAACTGATGAAAAAGTTTTGCCAGTTGAAAGGCAAATTGTTGTCCTTTATTGTCATAAATTGATCATATAAATTACCTTACTTCATTAAAACTTAGAAAAAAATAATTGAACTTCTGAGAATTAGGTTGCAATCGTTAACCCTACACCATTTTTCCATGCAATTTTCGTACATTACCTTAATTTTTCCGCACTCATCTGTTGCACTGTATTTTAGAGCAACATTTAAAAATATAACTGCTTTTGGTCATCCTCACAATATTTGAGGGACCATTGAGCGTCCGTCTCAAGAGATCAGCTCCATTTTCACTTTCGATTTCGAGTTCAATCGGGTCAGCCATACCGTAAAATCCCGTGTATAGAGCACAATGTTGTAAAAGACGCACCGCCAACTTTGGGGGTAAAAATCCTGAAAAAAACGCTGGTCCTATGTAAAAAGCGCATCCCAAAAATGCAGAATTTGGATGTGACATTACTTTTACTAGTACAGTAACTTAAAATAAAATAATGAAAAATTTACGAATCTCAAACAAAAGTAGAACGTCAGTTTTTTCACTTTACATATTCAGATGTGCATGTGTGAACATTTTAATTTAATCTTTGTAATAGTTATCTAACAAGAGATAATAATACTTGATTATTTTCTTTTAATTATTTCCAAGCCAAGCGTGTTATCAATTTATGCTTACCAGTAGAATGCATATATACCAAGCACGTGTCAGCATGTATACGTAAACAAAACTGGGTCATACCCAAGCGATATTAATGTCGAAAATTTGGCTTTTAGTAATTAAACAGTTCTTGGTATCCATTGAATGTAATTGACTGTTTTTACAAATACGTTTATATGTGCTTACACTGGCTAGTATTTTAATAACGCAGGTGTTGAAGTGATAATTATTTGTTATATAAACAATGGTCACGGCCTACGTGACAACATAGACTGAAGTTAAATATAACAATGATGCGGCAATAGAATCTTTAACGATTTGTAACTGGAATTTCATATCTCAAATTTAAAAAAATAAAAATAACTTATAAAATTGAGAATAATTCAGAAAACATCAAAAAGATTATAGCTGTTGACTCATTTATAGGTATTAATTAAATACATCTATGTCTTAAGCGACATGCATTTCGTTGATGATATAAGCGACGGTAGTTCAAAATGGCAGAATATGCAATGGAAATAAAATATAAACAAAGATCGTTTTTCCTCAGAATTTTATTTTTGAAACGGTTTTCTTTTTTTCAACACTAAGGGTATATATTTATTTCTACAACAGGTAGGGCTTACGTATATAACTCTCTGAAATTAGATTAACATTGACGTAATTGGTTACAAAGGATAATCAATTCAAATGGATCAGGAAAATGGTCATCGGCTCTGAGAATGTGACCTGAAAAAAAGGGGGTTGAATTTTGTTCCTATGTATTGAGCGCATCCCTACTTTTGAACAATTTTTTGACGAAAAAAAGTGTGCCCAATACAAGGGATTTTACGGTATTTGATTCCATAAACAAGTAATATTATCCAATGATATCACCGTTTAAACTTACATCATTCAGTGCGGATTTCATCCAATATGGTTGACCCGACTAACAATTTCCGGACTATTTTGATAAATTTTACTGAAAAAATTTTCAATGCGATGGGGTAAACGTGAATGCAGTGGGGCCTGAAAACCAATCATAATTTTTTATTTGGCCTAAATACTTACCTTCAAAAGGTTGTCCTTTCACTTTGGAGTTCCGAATAACAATAAAGACTGAACGACAAGAAAAGGCTGAATGCAAGGTGAACACAAATTGAACACAAAGTGAACAGAATGAATAGTGAACAGTGAACAGTGAACGTTTTGTGAACGCTGAGCGTATGGTGAACGGTGAACGAAAAACTGTGAACGGAGAGCAAACGATGAACGTATGCTGAACGAACGGTGAGCGAATGGAAAAATGGGAAAGTAGAACGTTTCAGTGACTGTACCATATGGAAAAAAGTCACCATTAAAAATATCCATCCTAATCAGAGAGTTTCTTTAGTAGCAAGAGTTAATATTTGCAGATGGATTTCAAACTTTTAAAAAAGTGTGTCTAAGAGTTGTCACTAATAATTAATCATCATATAAAATAAATTTTTAAAGATAAAAAAAATGGCTTCCCTAAATGTTTCTGGAGACGACTGCTTATCTAAAAAAATGAGTGCAATGTAATTTTATTATCTGTTTTTAGGGAGCTGCCACAGCTGCTGAAAAACTAACAGAACTTGATGCATTCAAGAGAGCTCAAACTGTTAAGATTAACCCAGATAAACCACAGGAAAATGCTAGATTTCTTACGATGGAGGTATGTATATTCTTACTCAATATAATAAAACTTACTATAGATCCTCCACAAATTCATTGTGAAAGTTCAAATGCAACTAATTTTATCACTCAATTTCTTGTACAAAAAGGCTGACAAGACCCTTTTGGTACCAACTCCTCGGTTGCGCCATGGACTGTTCAACAAATTGTTGCCTCCACAAGGATGTGGAAAAGAGATTCTACGTTACTGCTCCACCTCACAGGTACAATTAAGTTTGAACACCAGTGGGATCTAATAAAGGGAGATAATCAAGAAAAGGCAAATATAGAAATATGTGTCTTTTAAAAACTTGAAAAAATATTCTCCTTAAGAATGTAAAACACCCCCACCCCTAAAAATTTCCTGTCATTTAATTTTCGTTTCTCTTGTATGTTTTATAAATGGCTGTATATATCTATACTTATATTTTGATAAATTTTGCAAATAAACTGTGAAACGGCTGAACCAGAGCAGGGACCACCCTACAACCAAAAATTTAGGGAGACCTCACTTCTCCCTCAGAGAAATTTAGGGAGAAGTTTTGAAATTTAAGGAGACTTCTTGGTGCGTGTGATGCTCACTGATCATTTTAAAACTTTTTAGAAATGAAATTATTTCATTGTTTTTAACTTAGAATACACATTTCAATAATTTTTCTATGCTGACATCAGAGTTCTTGAAATCTTTCGGTCCTGTCGGCAAGACCGATAAAAACAACTAAGGACTGATAACTTTACGTTCTGTGTCAGTCCAAATGGCCGGTAGATGTTGAGAAAGCAACTTACGAAAATCCGACTAAATTTCATACGAATTCCCTAAAACCGACCAATCATAATCTGTTAAACGTTTTTCAGTATCTCGTAATGACTTCTTCGATGAACGCAAATACCAAACTATGATTGATTAATTGTTTAAACAAGTTTTTGACGCCGATAAGGTATTAGCCAGGTGAGAAAAATCAAACTAAGATTAAAAACCTATGAAGAAAATCGACCTCCCACGGGAATTCAGCGAAATTTGTTATACGATGATCAAATTCGCATGAAGTATGCAGTGTGTATTGACGGAGGGTGCCAAATGTAATGAAATAAAATTCAAATACAGTTTTAATCTTCTTAAAATTATCATGATTATGTTTTATTATTTTGTTGGACTGATAGAAATCTGTCTGGATCGACCGACAAACTTCCTGTGGCAGTCAGTCCAAATGACTGACAGTGGAAAAAAGATTTCAAGAGCTCTGTGACATCCTAGTAAAAATAATCAGAGAGAGAAAAAAGATTCTGATTTTTTTTTTCCAATTACAAGGTATATCTAGCAAAAAAAAAAAACAACAACAACAAAAAACCAAAAATAAACAAAACAATGACAATGTAAAAGTTTTTTTTTTTTCATTTCTTGCATAATATGCATAGCATTAGCACAATTAAAATTTTAAATTCTATCTTTTATTTTAAATTTTCAGCCTTATTGCATAGTCCTAACTATGCGCCCCGATCTATAGATCCGAGGGTATATTGTTTTTGTCCTGTCTGTTTGTCTGTTTATCTGTTTGTCTGTCTGTCTGTTGTCAACTTTAACCTTCGCCACAACTTTTGAACCATGAGAGATAGAGACTTCATATTTAGCATGCATACTCCACTGATGAAGTTCTTTCAAATGACACCAAGATCAATGACATTGTGACCTTGACTGTGACCTATTTGCTAAAAATAGCTTTTTTGAACTTTCACCATAACTTTTGAACCATGAAAGATAGAGACTTCATATTTGTTACGCCTACTTCACTAATAAAACTCTTTCAGATAACACCAAGGTCATGACCTTGTGACCTTGATTGTGACCTGTATGCTAAAAATAGATTTTACGAACTTTCGCCATATCCACTGAACCATGAGAGACAGAGACTTCATATTTAGTGTGAATACCTCACCAATGAATGTCTTTCAAATGACACAAAGGTTAATGACCTTGTGACCTTGACATCTGCTAGAAAGAGTTTTTTTTAACTTTGTTGCCGCCGGGCACATAGTGTTTCACAAACACATCTTGTTTTTTTCTTATTTTCTCTTCAAAATTTTTCAATATTAGGCCTAAAAAAAATTTCTGAAAAAAGTTTTGATGTTCTATGTACTGCATGTTGATTGAACTCTGTATTCAGTCTGTATTTTCTTGGACAGTCAATAATTCCACAATTTAACAGTAAAAGTTGTCTGTATTCACAGCATGAATTAATTATTTGGCAATAAAAAGATCTAAAATCATGTTCAACATCTTTGGCATGACATCGATAGCTGACCAGCTGTTTTGCATCTTGTTGTGCATAACTTGTAACAATGGACTTTTTAGCTCACCTGAGCCGAAGGCTCAAGTGAGCTTTTCTGATCACATTTTGTCCGTCGTCCGTCTAGCTGTCTGTCTGTCTGTCCGTCTGTAAACTTTTCACATTTTTGACTTCTTCTCAAGAACCACTGGGCCAATTTTGACCAAAATTGGTACAAAGCATCCTTGGGTGAAGTGGAATTTAAATTGTTAAAATGAAGGGTCAGGTCCCCTCGCAAGAGGAGATAATCAAGAAAAGACAAAAATAGGGTGGGGTCATTACAAAATCTTCTTCTCTAGAACCACTGGGCCAGAAAAGCTGAAACTTATGTGAAAGCATCCTGGGGTAGTGTAGATTCTAAATTGTTCTAATTATGACCCCTGGGGGTAGGGCGGGGCCATAATGGGGAATCAGAGTGTTACATAGAATTATATAGGAAAAATCTTTAAAAATCTTCTTCTCAAGAACCACTGGGCCAGAAAAGCTGAAACTTATGTGGAAGCATCTTGGGGTAGTGTAGATTCTAAATTGTTCTAATTATGACCCCTGGGGGTAGGGCGGGGCCATAATGGGGAATCAGAGTATTACATAGAATTATATAGGAAAAATCTTTAAAAATCTTCTTCTCAAGAACCTTTGGGCCAGAAATGCTGAAACTTATGTGGAAACATCCTGGGGTAGTGTAGATTCTAAATTGTTCAAATCATGACCCCCGGGGGTTGGTCGGGGCCACAATGGGGAATCAAAGTTTAACATAGAAATATATGGGAAAAATCTTTGAAAATCTTCTTCTCAAGAACCACTGGGCCAAAAAAGCTGAAACTTATGTGGAAGCATCTTGGGGTAGTGTACATTCTAAATTGTTCAAATCATGACCCCCTGGAGTTGGGCAGGGCCACAATGGGGAATGCAAGTTTTACATAGAAATATATAGGAAAAATCTTTTAAAATCTTCTTCTCAAGAACCACTGGGCCAGAAAAGCTGAAACTTATGTGGAAGCATCCTGGGGTAGTGTAGATTCTAAATTGTTCAAATCATGACCCCCGGGGGTTGGGCGGGGCCACAATGGGGAATGCAAGTTTTACATAGAACTTAATATAGGAAAAATCTTTGAAAATCTTCTACTCAAGAACCACTGGGCCAGAAAAGCTGAAACTTATGTGGAAGTATCCAGGGGTAGTGTAGATTCTAAATTGTTCTCATCATGACCCCCAGGGGTAGGGCGGGGCCACAATATGGAATCAAAGTTTTACAATGAGGAATCAAAGCATCGTATGGTAGTGTAGATTTCAAATTGTCTAAATTATGATCAGTGGGGTAGGGTGGGGTCATAATATGTATTACAAGGGGGAAATCTGGTAAAGATTGGAATGGTCAGAGCTTCTCAGGTGAGCGTTGTGGCCCATGGTCCTCTTGTTCAAACCCAGAAGCATAAAATCTAGAGGAGTTCCAACAGAGTATTTGATAAGTAAGTAAGTAAGTAAGTAAGTAAATTTTATTTAAAGTCGGCATTGTATACATACATAACAATAAACATGAGCTCTGTAGAGCTCTTCAACCGACTATCACAGTTAAAATATCACAGAAAGACGTTTACACATAAATTATCATGCAAAAACACATGTACATATATACACATACAAAAATTATGACAGATAAAATGAATTTTAAGAATTAAACAAATTTTAAGAATTTATAGTTTCTTTAGAATAAGTTAAAGAAAAATAGTCAACTTGAAAAGCAATATGATTGCATTAAGAGAAACAAAAATAAATATAAAGTGAGTATTATAAATAAATAAATAAAAGTCATATGATAGTACATGTAATAAAATTAAGCACTAAGTTTAATTCATAAATTCAGATAAAAATAACTAATTGTATTATTAATAATATTAAAAATAAATAAATAAATAAAACCCGATAATTGAATAAATTTGAAAGTTTAGGAAATTTAAAATTCACACAGACATAGCTAAACCAAATTGAGAAGGAAGGAAAGAATGAAAAATAAAAATAAATAATAATAATAATAATAATTTTTAAGTAATTTATGTTCCTCATCAGTACACATCCTGCCTAGTGATTGGGTCAGTCCCTACCTACATAGGCAAGATATGCATATTGTGAGGTTAAAGGGAAAAAAACAAAAAAAAAACTAGAAAACAATGAAATAAAATGAGATAGGTGATATCATTAGAGAAAATGAAAGATTTCAAAAATAAATGAAGATTCAACTGTTTCTAAACATTGTCTCATCAGCCATGCAGCCCCACGCCGTGGTTTCTGCAGGAACTGCATTTGCATTTTTCCCCCGTCCATGTCTCTATGAAAGTTTTAAATTGGCTGAGGGTGGAAAGTTCCCTAGTATGATTTGGTAGAGAATTCCACAGCGTAGCAGCCGCATAGCTGAATGACTGTTTTCCATACCTAGTGGTTCTTGGCCTAGGTAATTCCAGGGTCTTTTGATATCTAAAATTGTATGTTGAATTTCGCTGTTGAACTAAATCTTGCAGGAACAGTGGGCATTGATTGTTTATAATTTTGAAAACTTCAAGGGCCATGGCTCTCATACGCCTGATTTTCAGTGAGGGGAGGTTTGATTTTTCTAGGAGCTGGTCATAACTGCTTGTGTAGTCATTATATATGAATCTTAGTGCTCGCTCTTGAATTTTTTCTATTTTTTGGCAATTTTGTTCACTGCTAAAATGCCATACCAGAGGACAATAACTAAAGTTGGACATTATAAAGGAGTGATAGATAGTAAGTTTACCCAGTTTACAGAGATGTTTCCCGACACGTTTTAACACATTTAATTGTCGAGCTGCTTTTTTACAAATATTTGATATATGAGAATTGAAGTTTAAGTTAAAATCAAAAGTAACACCAAGCAGTTTCAC